TGATTGCGTTGGATAAAAACCGCAATTTTTATACGTGTGTATGCAAAACAAATTTCTTGGTAGAGTGGTCTAAATACAGCACAAACAACATTTTCCAAAAGACCAAAAAGAGTGAAAAAGTATATTTTAACAAAACGCATTTGACTAGCAGGTCGAACAACGGATGTTCTTAAACCCTGCTGACTGCCATGGCGATTGCCAAAAAAAGCGGATCACCAGATGTAAAAATGGATCTTAATTTATTAATTAAATACTAAACAGAAAACAATAAACTTGCGGAGATGGTATACCGCAAACATGAGGTGCAAAAATTTGTACACCATATCCGGATTTCGACAATTGTTGTCTCTTCAGTGATGTTAGGAATCGAAACGGTATTTGGAAGGCCATATAATTTACCTCAATTTGGGATTGACTCTTAAATTTTGAAGAGTCAAAATAGGAGAAACGGATCATATAAACCCGAAGGCAAATATATATATATATATATATATATATATATATATCTTTTCCGCAAGTTTATTGTTTTCTGTTTGGTAATAAATTAATAAGATCTATTTTGTTACATCTTGTGACCGTTTAATTGGCAATCGCCAATGGCAGTCAGCAGGGTGTAAGAACATCAGTTGTTCGACCTGCTAGTCAATTGCGTTTTGTTAAAATATTCTTTTTTCACTCATTTGGTCTTTTGGAAAATGTTGTTTGTGCTGTATTTGGACCCCTCTTCCAAGAAATGTGTTTTGCATGCGCACGTATAAAAATTGCGGTTTTTATCCAACGCAAATATAGGTTTGAACGTTGTTTTCAATTTAGACTTGTTTATATTTTTTCGTTTGGGCTTGTATTATATTTGCCTTCGGGTTTATATGATCCGTTCATCCTACTTTGACTCTTTCAAAATTCAAGAGTCTATCCTAAATTGAGGTAAATTATATGGCCTTCCAAATACTGTTTTGATTTCTAACATCACTGAATAGACATTAATTGTCGAAATCCGGATATGGTGTACAAATTTTTGTACCTCATGTTTGCGGTATACCATCTTTTCCGCAAGTTTATTGTTTTCTGTTTGGTAATAAATTAATAAGATCTATTTTGTTACATCTTGTGATCCGTTTATTTGGCAATCGCCAATGGCATCAGGGTGTAAGAACATCAGTTGTTCGACCTGTTAGTCAAATGCGTTTTGTTAAAATATACTTTTTCACTTGTTTGGTCTTTTGGAAAATGTTGTTTGTGCTGTATTTAGACCCCTCTACCAAAACTGTTGTTTTATATGCACACGTATAAAATTTGCGGTTTTTATCCAACGCAATCATAGGTTTGAACGTTATTTTCAATTTAGACTTGTTTATATTTTTTCGTTTGGGCTTGTTTTATATTTTCCTTCGGGTTTATATGATCCGTTCATCCTATTTGGACTCTTTAAAATTCAAGAGTCTATCCTAAATTGAGGTAAATTATATGGCCTTCCAAATACCGTTTCGATCCCTAACATCAGTGAAGAGACATTAATTGTCGAAATCCGGATATGTGTACAAATTTTTGCACCTCATGTTTGTGGTATATCATCTTTTCCGCAAGTTTATTGTTTTCTGTTTGGTATTAAATTAATTTTAAGATCCATGTTGTTAATCTGGTGATCAATTTATTTGGCAATCGCCAATGGCAGTCAGCAGGGTTTAAGAACATCCGTTGTTCGACCTGTTAGTCAAACGCGTTTTGTTAAAATATACTTTTTCACTTTTTTGGTCTTTTGGAAAATGTTGTTTGTGCTATATTTAGACCCCTCTACCATGAAATTTGTTTTATATGCACACGTATAAAAATTGCGGTTTTTATCCAACGCAATCATAGGTTTGAACATTGTTTTCAATTTAGACTTGTTTATATTTTTTCGTTTGGGCTTGTATTATATTTTCCTTCGGGTTTATATGATCCGTTCATCCTATTTGGACTCTTTAAAATTCAAGAGTCTATCCTAAATTGAGGTAAATTATATGGCCTTCCAAATACCGTTTCGATCCTTAACATCACTGAAGAGACATTAATTGTCGAAATCCGGATATGGTGTACAAATTTTTGCACCTCATGTTTGTGGTATATCATTCTTTCCGCAAGTTTATTGTTTTCTGTTTGGTATTGAATTAATTTAAAGACCCATGTTGTTAATTTGGTGATCAATTTATTTGGCAATCGTCAATGGCAGTCAGCAGGGTTTAAGAACATCCGTTGTTCGACCTGTTAGTCAAATGCGTTTTGTTAAAAAATACTTTTTCATTTTTTTGGTCTTTTGGAAAATGTTGTTTGTGCTGTGATTGCGTTGGATAAAAACTGCAATTTTTATACATGTGCATGTAAAACAAATTTCTAGGGTGAGGGGTCTATATACAGCACAAAGAACATTTTCCAAAAGACCAAAATAGTGAAAAAGTATATTTTAACAAAACGCATTTGACTAACAGGTCGAACAACGGATGTTCTTAAACCCTGATGACTACCATTGGCGATTGCCAAATAAAATGATCACCAGTACAAAATGGATCTTATATATATGTAAATTGTGTATATTAAAGAATCCTGTAGTGTTAATTTCGAAAGGTAGAGCAAATTATGTGTGCATGATTTCTAGTGGCTACAATTTATCATTTAGGAAAGTCGGTAAGACAATACATTTTAATTAGATGCGGCATATATATATGCAAAACACAAAAATACTAGTATGGGTTTATGTAATCACATCAAAGGCACTAGTTTTAAATGTAAATAAAACTCTTATCGAAAATACATATATTTTCATTGATTGTCGATGCCATAAACATTGAACACCCAAAATCAAACACTATCGACGAAGAGTTGATATAACAAAAGTGACAACAACCGAAGCCAAACAGAAATATGAATTAATCAGATATGCCATTTAATATAAACATATATATATACTTAATATCAATATAAGAATTACACTCGAAAATTGAGAAAGAGGAACAAACCCTGTGCAAGACGTGATTAGAATGAACCTTTCTTAACCTATTCTCCATTGAGAAAATATCATAGAACCAAAGATCCAAATCCCCGAGGCAGAGTTGACCTCGGACAGATTCAGCTATTCTTTGTCAATTTTTTTTTTTATCAAAAAATGCTTCACAAGTTTCGGATCTTTTACATTATTGACCTTGAAATATTTGGCTTTGAGTGTTCCTGATGAGGATAATTCTAGAGAAGCGCCTCGGACGCATAACATGTATAAAGTGTTATATTCATTTCATAGCACTGGTGGACTATTAGTCTCAGTGTGTATCATCAGCTTTGTAGTCACTAATATGAGTCATAACTGACCTTTCTCAAATGAGTTTAAATGTTCCTTTGGTATCTTTCGCCTCTCTCTTGATAAATTTAGAAATTATCATGAAACTAAGATTTCAACTCCTTAAGGCAAAGTTTACCTCAGACGGATTAAGATATTATTTGTAGGTTCCTTTTTGGTCATATAGCTGTTTACAAGTTACGGTTCATGTAATTCCTTGACTTTTAAATTAATTTTGTGGATTTGCGAGTTCCTGATCAAGGTACATCCAGAGAATCGCTTCGGACACATACTTTTTATTAAGTGTTATTTTTTCCTTTTATATTTAATTAATTATGACATTGTGAGATGTCAACAAAAACATTAATTTCCAATCTTAAAGAAGGTCTTAATAGTGCATTGTTTAAACTTAGTATCCTTGACAATACGTTATAAATTTCATGCTTCCGAAGCGCTTTTCTGGATTAACGTACATCAGGAAGGCTTAAAACCCAAAGCCGATTATTTGAAAGTCAAGAAAGGATGAATAAGAACCGAAACAGTTGAAGAGCTATATTACCAAAAAGAACCCACCAAAAAAAAGCTAAATCCATATAAGGTCAACTTTGCCTGAGGGAGTGGAAACCTTCATTTATTTATAATTTCAATATTTATAAACACACACAATTTTAGAAAAGATTGTTATAAAGCATGTGCATACAACTTGAAGGTTTTGGGATTTTGGCGGTCCTAATGAGAGTGGGTCCAGAGGTGTGATTCGGATACATGAAGTTTTCATTGCGTTGTTATCATTTTGTTTACCATTGTGTTTACAGTTTACTTAATTTGTACTTTGTTGTTGTGATTCATCAACAGCATGAGAACATTTCTTTGTTGACACACTCGGTTTTGCTCCGTATGGATGCAATGATGACTCTCGGTTTGCATTATCAAACTGGATTCTTAAGTGAACAGCTGTAGCTCTTAACTATCGGAAAACGGAGTTAAAACTATCTCTAGAGTAAATACTTGTTTTTAAAAATATATACATATATATACAAAAACTGCTTCACTATCAACAAAGGACAAGTATGAACATGATGAAATGATTTTGCTTTTCGTATCCGTACATCGATTTAGCTGAATATGATTTCTATGAAAGTACAGACCTAGTATCACAAAGCTGTTCATGATCACAGTTCATATAACAAAGAGATTAATGTAAAAGAAGCAATAGTAATTTTGTTAACAGTTTAGAAATATGAGTGTTAAGGGAGTCTTTCGTCATAGCTCTTCACATTTTCAATGATCTACGTAGAATAACTATATATGTAAATTATATGTTTTCACAAAATAAATTACGAAACGAAATCAGGCCAAGCAGTAAAAATTAACCAACTGAAAATTATATTAATTTAATTTAAAATATGAATTCAATGTGTACTGTAAAGCAAACAAATCATCAAGGACATGTTAACCTCGGAATAGTCGGGTATGTTTATTGATTGGTTGGGGAGATACAATCATTTTAAATTCATAAAGGATTATGCAAGTCATTGAAATATTGTATTATATAGTACCCGGTAGTAATTGATTTTTAGAAATCTGATTTCGAAAGTAAAAGTAAAAAATAATTTCTTACAGTCATTCATATAGATCAAAGTTTAATGTTGATTGTTTGATTGTAAGTACAAAATATAAAATATGACCTGTTTATACTGTATTTTTGTCGGATACAGAGTATGAATGAAAATAGACAGGTACGCTTTTAATGTCAATTAGCTTAATTTCTTTTAATTTATAAGTATACATTTTGTAATTATATATTTGAGAACTGAATAATCATTTAGATAAACAACAGAGATTTTTCACTGAATACTTAAACGTTGATTGGACAAGATTGTGTTTTGAATTGAATAATATTCTTATTTGTATTAGTTCCAAAATACACTTCAAACAACGGGAATTAAATCATTGTTTACTGGTTAATTTAGTGTGTATTGATAATTGCTGATGAATAGGGACTGAAACTGTCTGTTGTAGTTCTCAGAAACCTCATGTCAGATTTTGATATGGTCATACAGTACATTAGCTTGACTGAACTGGACTGGGCTCTTCAACCTGACCAATGAGCTGGAATGGACTAGACTGTAGGACGTTACGGGAATGCGCTTACAAATTTACATGTATGTATGTATGTTTGGATTTTGTTTTAAAGACAGCTGTGTTGTTTATTTGATATCTATGTTTACACAAATTTGTCTGCTGGATCCCAATTATTGTCACGTTAACCAATAATATCTGTTTGGGTTGCTCACAATACTTTGTTAGTGAATCTTTGAACGATTGTCATCGTCATAAAACCAGATTCAACCCACGATTTTTTTCGGAAAATGTCTGTTTTAAGTCCGGCTTTTCTAGATTTACCTACACCAGGAACGCTCAAAACCGAATATGTGAAAACCAAGGATGTGTACGAATCGAAGCAGTTGAAGAGATAAATGACCAAAAAGGACCTATAAAAAGCCAAATCCATCTAAGGTCAACGTTGCCTGAGGGAGTTGAAACCTTAGTTTCTTTATAATTTCAAAATTTATTAAGGAACAATTTTAGAAATTTCGTTATAAATGATGTCAGTACCGAAGTACTGACTACTGAGCTGATGATACTTTCGTGGACTGATAGTCAACCGGCAGAGGTATCGACCCAGTGATTTAAAAATTAAAAAAAAACAACACATTATGAATTTTTTGCGTTTTTATTTCATCAAAATCATTTTGCAGCTGTTATGATAAGGACAAATTAACGAATCGAAATTGATGGACAATATCATCAAATAAATTTCAGGCTAGTATCCCACATATTCACATACTCTGTGCTTGCTTCTGTGCTGATTGTTTATTTATATTACGATTGTCTTCGATTTATATATGCAACGTATTCGTTATAACTTAAAAACAAATACAGTTGACTTAGTTAAGTTTATATGCATGTATTGGTTCAACTATGTCATTTACATAATAATCAACAGAAACTCGTTTCATATGACGTTTGATTAATCAATTTTGTTTCATTTAAAAGTATCAGATGATAAAAGTTTGTTAACAAAAAAAAGATCTCTTTCTAGTCAATTCCACTAGTCCAGTACATGGCTCAAATACGGGAGTATAATAAGTTAATAATTAACATTTAACCCAAACATTATTTGTGTATGGAGGTAACGTATGCTTACTTAAGGGGTACGTAAAAAGGTTTGATTTACTAAATAACCCTCTCAATTCATTTTATCATGTTACTGCTTACAGCATTACACTGTATTACCATTTATTTCATTGACCTAGAAAATAACTAAACAAGAAAAAGGAGATTATAAAAAAAGAACTGGTCATGCAAGAATATATGAAACATAGGTATCCATAGAGTAACTAATAAAATTGAGAATGGAAATGCGGAATATATCAAAGAGACAAGAACCCGACCAAAGCCGAAGGGTCTTCAATGCAGCGAGAAAAATTCCTCACCCGCAGATGGGCCTCAGCTGGCCCCTAAATAAAAATGTGTACTAGTTCAGTAAAAATGGATGTCATACTAAACTCCAAAACATATAAATGAACTAAAATTAAAAAAACATAACAGACTAGCAAAGGCCAGAGGCTCCTGACTTGGGATATGCGCAAAAATGCGGCGGGGTTAAACAGGTTTTGTGAGATCTCAACTCTCCCCTATACTTCTAGCCAATGTAAAATAAACAGACACACAGTATACACACAGTAAAACACAAAAAGTATTCACCTGTCATTAAAAAAAAATAGAGATTGTTTTTTTACAAATTATATTCAATAACGACATCATTAAGAAATGTTCCATTCGAATGTTGGTGCAGAATTATTAGACCAAAAACTGTTTTCAATTGATTTATAAGGTCTATAAGTAGTAATTAAATTTTGTACTACATAGTCCCCTGTAGTATTTCATAGGAAATCCGGTTCGAAAGCGAAAGTTAAAATATGTTTGCATAATATACATCGAACAACATTTTATTAGCTTTAAAATGATGACAAAAGAAAGTTAGAAAACGAATATTTAATTCAATGAAACTCAACCACTACTTCGGAAGTCAAATCAGTAGGTAAATTTTCGAGCCAATGTATTTTTCATAAAGGGGTATCTACTCTTTCTTAACTTTCTATGTCGATTGAGTTACATATTAAAAAATCTTGTATATAACTCAATAAATCATGTCATTATATTGGTCATTTTATAAAACAAAAATGTTTGAATTTTCATTTCATCTATCATGCAATGCTAAACAATTTTATTTTCATTGAATATTAGCGTTGTAAGTGTTTACATGAATGTTTGTAGGACTAATGCGTCTATAAATTAATAGTAAAAAAGTTGTCGTCCATTTGATGAAATCAAAACATGTTTAATTAATTGATTTGTATAAAGTATCAGGAATCCATGTTTCAAATAAATTTTTTCATGATCTCTGATTTCTGACACAAAGCATTATTTGCTTATAAATATGATAGTTTAAACTTGAAAGTTATATTCGATACTTACAAAACAATGACTAATGGAGGATATACAAAGTTGATGACGCCATTTTTTTATACCGGATATCCACTCTTTATATTAATATGGCAAATTTAATACAGACTAGACAAATTAACTAGACTGGGTCACAATAGAACTAAATATAAAAGAAGATCATATCTAGAAATTTATTTGTATGAAAGAATTAAAATTGATTTGACGTTAGAACATAATACTTTAACAGTGTTCAATGTGTCTGCATCATCCTGCTCCCGATTGCTTTTGTTCATTGTCCCTATCTAAATATAATCCCGCTGGTCATTTTATATAGCGTAAACCATTTGCCAACTTCCCATTTCCTAGCAGTATCATACGCTCTGTCCCATCATAATGCGTTTTCATGTTTCTAGTCATACGTAAATAACATTCATGCTCACATAATACGGAATTCATAAACAGGGGTGTGCCCATGTCACAAAGACTGGTCCAACAGAGTTATGAGGAAGGAGGATTGAAGGGTGTGCCCATGTCACAAAGACTGGTCCAACAGAGTTATGAGGAAGGAGGATTGAAATGTGTGCCCATGTCACAAAGACTGGTCCAACAGAGTTATGAGGAAGGAGGATTGAAGGGTGTGCCCATGTCACAAAGACTGGTCCAACAGAGTTATGAGGAAGGAGGATTGAAGGGTGTGCCCATGTCACAAAGACTGATCCAACAGAGTTATGAGGAAGGAGGATTGAAATAAAATTAACACTTCATAAATCGACACTTGTCACCATTACATACTGGTTGACCAAACGGATGTCTCTGGATTATAAATCAACACTTGTCCCCATTACATACTGGTTGACCAAACGGATGTCTCTGGATCATAAATCGACACTTGTCCCCATTACATACTGGTTGACCAAACGGATGTCTCTGGATCATAAATCGACTCTCGTCACCATTACATACTGGTTGACCAAACGGATGTCTCTGGATCATAAATCGACCCTTGTCACCATTACATACTGGTTGACCAAACGGATGTCTCTGGATCATAAATCGACCCTTGTCACCATTACATACTGGTTGACTAAACGGATGTCTCTGGATCATAAATCGACACTTGTCACCATTACATACTGGTTGACCAAACGGATGTCTCTGGATCATAAATCGACTCTTGTCACCATTACATACTGGTTGACCAAACGGATGTCTCTGGATCATAAATCGACACTTGTCCCCATTACATACTGGTTGACCAAACGGATGTCTCTGGATCATAAATCGACACTTGTTCCCATTACATACTGGTTCACTAAACGGATGTCTCTGGATCATGAATCGACTCTTGTCACCATTACATACTGGTTGACCAAACGGATGTCTCTGGATCATAAATCGACTCTTGTCACCATTACATACTGGTTGACCAAACGGATGTCTCTGGATCATAAATCGACTCTTGTCACCATTACATACTGGTTGACCAAACGGATGTCTCTGGATCATAAATCGACACTTGTCACCATTACATACTGGTTGACCAAACGGATGTCTCTGGATCATAAATCGACTCTTGTCACCATTACATACTGGTTGACCAAACGGATGTCTCTGGATCATAAATCGACACTTGTCACCATTACATACTGGTTGACCAAACGGATGTCTCTAGATCATAAATCGACCCTTGTCACCATTACATACTGGTTGACCAAACGGATGTCTCTGGATCATAAATCGACCCTTGTCACCATTACATACTGGTTGACCAAACGGATGTCTCTGGATCATAAATCGACACTTGTCACCATTACATACTGGTTGACCAAACGGATGTCTCTGGATCATAAATCGACTCTTGTCACCATTACATACTGGTTGACCAAACGGATGTCTCTGGATCATAAATCGACACTTGTCCCCATTACATACTGGTTGACCAAACGGATGTCTCTGGATCATAAATCGACACTTGTTCCCATTACATACTGGTTGACCAAACGGATGTCTCTGGATCATGAATCGACCCTTATCACCATTACATACTGGTTGACCAAACGGATGTCTCTGGATCATGAATCGACTCTTGTCACCATTACATACTGGTTGACCAAACGGATGTCTCTGGATCATAAATCGACTCTTGTCACCATTACATAATGGTTGACCAAACGGATGTCTCTGGATCATAAATCGACACTTGTCACCATTACATACTGGTTGACCAAACGGATGTCTCTGGATCATAAATCGACTCTTGTCACCATTACATACTGGTTGACCAAACGGATGTCTCTGGATCATAAATCGACACTTGTCCCCATTACATACTGGTTGACCAAACGGATGTCTCTGGATCATAAGTCGACCCTTGTCACCATTACATACTGGTTGACCAAACGGATGTCTCTGGATCATAAATCGACCCCTGTCACCATTACATACTGGTTGACCAAACGGATGTCTCTGGATCATAAATCGACCCTTGTCACCATTACATACTGGTTGACCAAACGGATGTCTCTGGATCATAAATCGACACTTGTCACTATTACATACTGGTTGACCAAACGGATGTCTCTGGATCATAAATCGACCCTTGTCACCATTACATACTTGTTGACCAAACGGATGTCTCTGGATCATAAATCGACACTTGTCACCATTACATACTGGTTGACCAAACGGATGTCTCTGGATCATAAATCGACACTTGTCACCATTACATACTGGTTGACCAAACGGATGTCTCTGGATCATAAATCGACACGTGTCACCATTACATACTGGTTGACCAAACGGATGTCTCTGGATCATAAATCGACCCTTGTCACCATTACATACTGGTTGACCAAACGGATGTCTCTGGATCATAAATCGACACTTGTCACCATTACATACTGGTTGACCAAACGGATGTCTCTGGATCATAAATCGACACTTGTCACCATTACATACTGGTTGACTAAACGGATGTCTCTGGATCATAAATCGACACTTGTCACCATTACATACTGGTTGACCAAACGGATGTCTCTGGATCATAAATCGACTCTTGTCACCATTACATACTGGTTGACCAAACGGATGTCTCTGGATCATAAATCGACCCTTGTCACCATTACATACTGGTTGACCAAACGGATGTCTCTGGATCATAAATCGACCCTTGTCACCATTACATACTGGTTGACCAAACGGATGTCTCTGGATCATAAATCGACACTTGTCACCATTACATACTGGTTGACCAAACGGATGTCTCTGGATCATAAATCGACTCTTGTCACCATTACATACTGGTTGACCAAACGGATGTCTCTGGATCATAAATCGACACTTGTCCCCATTACATACTGGTTGACCAAACGGATGTCTCTGGATCATAAATCGACACTTGTTCCCATTACATACTGGTTGACCAAACGGATGTCTCTGGATCATGAATCGACCCTTATCACCATTACATACTGGTTGACCAAACGGATGTCTCTGGATCATGAATCGACTCTTGTCACCATTACATACTGGTTGACCAAACGGATGTCTCTGGATCATAAATCGACTCTTGTCACCATTACATAATGGTTGACCAAACGGATGTCTCTGGATCATAAATCGACACTTGTCACCATTACATACTGGTTGACCAAACGGATGTCTCTGGATCATAAATCGACTCTTGTCACCATTACATACTGGTTGACCAAACGGATGTCTCTGGATCATAAATCGACACTTGTCCCCATTACATACTGGTTGACCAAACGGATGTCTCTGGATCATAAGTCGACCCTTGTCACCATTACATACTGGTTGACCAAACGGATGTCTCTGGATCATAAATCGACCCCTGTCACCATTACATACTGGTTGACCAAACGGATGTCTCTGGATCATAAATCGACACTTGTCACTATTACATACTGGTTGACCAAACGGATGTCTCTGGATCATAAATCGACCCTTGTCACCATTACATACTGGTTGACCAAACGGATGTCTCTGGATCATAAATCGACCCTTGTCACCATTACATACTTGTTGACCAAACGGATGTCTCTGGATCATAAATCGACACTTGTCACCATTACATACTGGTTGACCAAACGGATGTCTCTGGATCATAAATCGACACGTGTCACCATTACATACTGGTTGACCAAACGGATGTCTCTGGATCATAAATCGACCCTTGTCACCATTACATACTGGTTGACCAAACGGATGTCTCTGGATCATAAATCGACACTTGTCACCATTACATACTGGTTGACCAAACGGATGTCTCTGGATCATAAATCGACACTTGTCACCATTACATACTGGTTGACCAAACGGATGTCTCTGGATCAGAGCTCTGGAGATGTCTTAGATCTGATCTGTAAATTAACAATACTTATTGTGTCCAATTTGCGATGGATACGCATGACGGATGATGCATGCATATCAGGAAACAATAACCTGGTCAACGAACCCGGTCAATCTCTGTTTTGGTTTCAGTGTTTGTTTTTACCTTTATTCGTATGTTCAGAATACATTTATGATATTGAAGCATCGAGATACAACTGTTACCCCCTAATTCATGTCTTTGTAAAACCTCATATCATGGTTCTGTTATAAATGCGCGTCTGATGTACAAAATGTTAATCCTGGTATCTATAATGAGTGTATTTATAAGCACAGGGTCAATTAACTTCACATTACTCATTTAGGAAAAATAGCAGCGGAAATCTTACAAGTTTTCTTAGAGACAAAACAATTTGTATTTTTATGTATTTTTTTTTATCATGAAAATAATCTGGTCATTTTTCTGATAGAAAATACTGGCAAAGGTATTTTGCATAGAGAACATGAGAACATGAGAACAATCTTTACAGACATACTACTTAGTGTTTTGAACTGGTGTGCTTTATTCACTTGCAAAAAGCGTCTTATTGTGATTCGCAACTCATACTTGACAATACCAATTTCCCGAAAACCTGATAATAGGTTTTCCTCATTGTTTAAACAATAAATATATAATAGAACTGTATAACTGAGTATTTCCTAAAAGCTTTTCTTGGATTATCTTCGCCAGGAACGCCCATTTCCAAACATCGAAAAATAAGAAAATCTAACTAACTAAACACGCGAAGAGCTGGGCGTGTAAGAATTGAACATCATCAACATTGCATAGAGATCAAAAATGAAAGCAGGATGTTTTCCATATTAGGTTATCTTGAAAGTAATTCATAAACATACATCCATTTTATAGATTGTGCTGAACAGAATTAAATAAAAATAATATTAAGATACACTTCAAGTTTATATCAAACCTAAAAATAATTAATATATTTTTCATATCTACTCTCAGGTGATGATATAAAATGAATTAAAAAGAGACAGAACGAAGAACGAGACAGCACTATGTCTTTGTCATCGGGAAAGGGAAATAATGGCGGTAAGTATGGTCGTCTTTCTAGACATAATAGTAATATGTTATTAAACATTCTTAATATGTCATTCTATATTTACTTTTCTCCCTACCTGCTCTTAAAAGAGGGACGAAAGATACTAGAGGGACAGTCAAACTCATAGATCGAAAACAAACTGACAAAGCCATGGCCAAAAATAAAAAGACAAACCGACAAATAATAGTACAGATGACACAACATAGAAAACTAAAGACTAGGCAACACGAACCCCACCAAAAACTGGGGGTGATCTCAGGTGCTCCGGAAGGGTAAGCAGATCCTGCTCCACATGTGGCACCCGTCGTGTTGCTTATGTTATTTCAAATTCGGTAAATAGTCTAATTCGGAAGGTCACATTCGTGAAAAGCTATATTTACTTTTTCCTTATTTATTTTGCCCTACTTATTCTCTATTCTTTATTTTCTTGGCACATATATTTCTATTTTTTCTATCTTTTTTTTTTTTTTTTTTTTTTTTTTTTGCTTTTTGATTATTCTACTGTAAATTCTACCCAGATCCTCAAAATAGACAAGAATTGTTGCCTTTTTTTGTTGTTATGTTTCAAATTGTTAGCATTGAAGTTTTATTGGTATTTTAGTGATGATACTTTTCTACTGGATAGTTCACTCAATAACATTACTTTATTAGCTAGATTTTATTTAGTAAGTTACTTCATTCTAAACAATGGACACAGAAAATAAACAACTCTTCTAATATAAGACATTGCTTAAAGAAAAATGTTTCGTGGTTGTTTCGTTATTTGAATGATAGTCCTTGTAAAATAAACATTAGATATTTCAACTTAAAAGTCTTTCCTGTTTGTAAAATTTCTTTTTATTTATCAAAATGCAGGTTATTTGCCAAAAGTTGTTGGAACACCTCAACACATGGAAAATGAAACACTGTTAGAAGGATTACAAAACATACTTGATGACTACCCAGATGGTTCTCAGATTCTACGAGTGAGTTTTTTTGGGAAATAATTTTCTTCACTTAATGTCAACATAAGTATCAACTCTCAGGGAATTAACTTTTTTCCATCGAAAATATCGAGTTCTTCCTCCGCAGAACAGCATCTGGCGTATTGACTTTCTGTCTTGTTTAAGCGATGCCATCTTAGATCTACCCTACGAAAAGAATAGTATCACAATGTCCTATGAGTGATAGATTAATTGTCAAAATTATATTTTATAAATCTAAACTGTCTAATATAATAATTTGTGTACATTGTTTTTCATATAATCAGTATGCTAACGTCAACTCAAACGTTGTATGCACTATCATGTGGATAGCGGATACCCCTAATCGCAAAATAAGATTTCATTTTTTCATTTCCTGTACTTTATAGAATCAAACCTTCAGTAAAAGTTACACATAAACTTCATTGGCTTTACAAGATTAGGCTCTGAGCATTCATGATGAAAGTTAATCACGGAAAGCTTATCGGGCACATGAAATTTATCACATGTTTTTTAATCCTGTTATAGCACTGGGTCAATATCGTTGCTGGTGGACAAAAAGTCAAACGAAGGCATCACCAGCCTTGTAGTTCGGTACTGACATGACTTATCATATACTTTTCTTAAATTGTCCATTGATAAATTTACAAATTATTAAGAAACACTCATGGGCAAAGTTGACCTTTGATGGATTTGGAAATTATTTTTAGGTCTTTTTTAGTAAATATATACCTCTTCAACTGTTTCGCTTCGTATACGTCATTGGCTTTCAAATATTTAGCTTTGAGCGTTCCTGGTGAAGGTTATTCAAAAAAGCGGACGATTACTGAATTAAAGGAAACTTGCATAACTAATAAAATAAATGTCAAAATGAAATAATTGATTAATTCTCCCTAACAAGTTTCTCTGCAGTCTTTGTTTTAAATGTTACATTATTATATCCTTGATGAGGTTTTTTTGCTTGCTATTAAGAGTTGTTTGTACTTAGAAAACATTTAAAATAACATTTTGTATAGTACCTAAAGATACCTAATATTTAGCTTGAGTCAATATCTCCATTTATATAAAATTAGGAGATGTGATATATTGTCAATAACTATCCACCAGAGACCAAACAAAGGAGACGAATATCTTGATTCCATAATTATATCTAAATGAATTGTACACATTCTGTTTATATACATTAAAAAGGTTATATTTAACAGGAAATGGTACAAAATGCCGAAGATGCTGGTGCTACGTGTATGAAAATCATGTATGACAGTCGTCCTATAGACCCTGGTGACTCCTTGAACATTAGTAAATATTTCAAGGTAAGACTTTCGGTTTCTTTTTGGTTCATTCAATCTATTCTTCATATTTAGTTATTTCGTCATTTTACTCATTGCACGAAATCAAGAAAATCTTAAAGAACACTGGTACGGATGGCCGCCAGTATAATCCCACCAAAATGTCATTTACGCCAGTACTTAAAACCTTCCATCTTTTATGGGTGGATTTTACATAGATAAATAAAATCGTATAATAAAAAAGCAAAATGAGGATGTTAAATTTGATGTATGCCTTTTTGTGCTTCTTTGTTACTTTGTTTGTTTTTATAGTGATTAAGATGATAACACAATGTTGACTGCTGTACCCCTATTTTTGACATTTGTGTATCTATTGTGTCTGTTTGTTTTGTTCACGCATCGTTTTTGTCAATATAATGGAATTTGATGAGACTGTCATACAAGTGAGAGGTTTAGCTAGCTATAAAACCAGGTTCAATCCACCATTTTCTACATAAGAAAATGCCTGTACCAAGCACTACAAAAGTCAAAAAGTCTGAAAAGACCAGTTTTTGTCTGAATTTGCATGAATTTTTACTCGACATTCTTAATTTGTCTGAATAATTTTTAAAAATTCTTGACATAGTATGAATTTGTCTAATAAGGTTCTTGATTTTTCTTGACAAGTGTCTTGACAGTATGAACATTGTCTTAAAATTTCTCGACACTTCCTGTATCATCTGATAAGAGTCTGGATTAGTCTCGAACAATTCTTGACTGTCTTAAATTTGTCTCGATCTGTCTTGACATATTCTTGACGTTCTTAATAATGTCTGAATATGTCTCGACATATTCTTGACATTCTAAATAATGTCTGAATATGTCTCGACACATTCTTGACAGTATAAATTTCGCCTGAAATGTGAACAGACTTATTCTGCTCTGTTTATGACATTCTATTGCTGTTAAATACTCCTTTTTATTATGGCTAAACTAAACTTTGAAGAATCAAGGATTAATTTGGTATAGTAAGATACCCTTTTGGTGCAACTAAGTTGGAATACCCTAAATAATCCCCCATGTAGTTTAATTTTGATTTATTTTTTATTAAACATTTAAGTAATTGTTTTCACTTGGAATATAAGTCGAAGGTATTGACAAACAGCATTTAGATTTTTGCCGTTCGCAAAACTGCCAGTCAAATTTTCTTTACTAAAATAGGTGTCTTGCATCTCTTTTGGACCCCACAATTCATCTTTTGGGTTTGTGTGGCTAAAAAAAGAAGGGGGGGGGGGGGGGCTTTCGTTTAGGTCAAAGAATTTGTTCCCATCTTGATTCAAAAACTTATTCATTTTTTAGAACAACCCAAAAACATTTTTTATTAAAATTTGAGTGTTGAATTTTATAATTTTTTATCAAAAATAAATATTTATGATAACTCCTTCCTGAAAAGAAAAAAATGTTTAGATCTATATTATGCATGTCTGTTTAGGAACCATTTCATAAGACCGATGATTTCTATAGAAATCATTGATGGGACCCATTATAAATACATTTTTTTTCATTATTCCTGGAGTAGATAATAATTTTCTTTTAATCTTTGGGAATTATTCAATTTGTTTTTATGTTAAAATAATTAACTTCATAATTTTGATGAAGAAAATCCATTTCAATTCAATTTTTTTTCATCAAAATTATGATTTTCATTTTCATCTATCAACAAACTTTTTAAATTGTAATGTCAGTCAACTGATAAGTTGTATGGCTGATTACAGGTAAAGCAATAACTTCTATTTGACAGTTGCTTGTACTCTGGGGTGTGGAATACCTTAATTTTATGGGGAACATCCTGTCCATGTGTAATACTTAATATATTCCAACAGATGACATTACACAAATTTTCTTCTGTTAAATGAATGATTTGTATATCATCATAATTTGCTATTTATATAAACCACATTTTGGTATAATAATTATTTACCATATCAACATTGAATATTATGAATGTAGAATGAAATATGTCTACAGTATGATTGGTTTGAATCATTTAATTTATAAGATTTAGGAATCAAAATTTGTAATTATTTAAAAACCCACATTGAAATTGTTTTATATCAACACACCCACATTTGAATTATTGTATACTTTAGATTTCATAGCCATATTTGCATTTGTAAAAATATTTATATACCCAAATTTTCAATTATTTTACATGCCCAACTTTTATTTTTGTTGTAAAGAAGTGTAACTTGAAACAACAGTATATCATATAAAGAGAAATAAAGATTAAAGTTATATCATGAATATTGGTCATGATTTGTAAAACTCAGAACTGTCAAGTAAATTTAAGACATGATTCAAAATGTTCAGAATATGTCAAGCCATACTGCATGTACTGAGAAAAAATAAGAATGTCGAAAATATGTCGAGAAATTTCAAGACAGTATTCAAATGTCAAGAACTTGTCAAGAAATTTTAAGACCATATTCAGAATGTCGAGAATATGTCAAGTAAGTTTCATACAAATTTAATATAAATGAGAATTTGTCAAGAAAAATTAAGACACAAGCCATACTTTTAGAGAATGTCGAGTAAAAGTTCATGCAAATTAAGACAAAAACTGGTCTTTTCAGACTTTTAGACTTTTGTAGTGAAGTCAGGAATATGACAGTTGTTATCCATTCGTTTGATGTGTCTGAGCTTTTGATTTTGCCATTTGATTAGGGACTTTCCTTTTTGAATTTTCCTCGGAGTTCAGTATTTTTGTGATTTTACTTTTTAATGACACGTTGTCGTTTGTCATTACAGGATACATCACATCCTCGTCGTGGTGTAAGCCTTAATGACCGTATACCATTTCTACAACAGCCGTATGGTATGCTTCATTTGTCCCTGCAGAAAAAGCATCAAAAACGATTGATTTCTTTTATTTCCATGGCGAAAGATGTATGCATGGCAGTAGATGCTTACCTTGTCTACGTACTCAATCTCGTTTGTTTTTATAGCCTGCGATTCCCTCAGTTTTTCTCTGTTACCTTGATTTGATTCCTTATTCGATATATTAGATTTGAACATCGATTTCTAGTAAATACTATTTCCTCGTTCAAGTTCATTTGGAATTTCAACCGAAGATGAAAACTAGATCTTCCCACATTCTAAAGGATAGCAAAATAACATAATTGTCCTTACAAACAAGTTATACTGCTTGGTCAGCCACATTCTCAACGAAAATTCCTAACTTTTGACATCTATTTTTATCAGTAATTATAAGTCGTTTTTTAAGTTACTGTTATACTGCCTACTTTAGGGAAGGTGTAACATAGCACAGGATTCTAAACAAATCAAAAGATATGTAGCAATCCAATTTTTTCTTATTTGGCTTCATTTATATATCCTTCAGAACTATAAATTAACGAAAAACAGTCACGGCTTCCTCCGACTCATTTTTAGAGTCGGATTTGACATTAGCGGTCATCTCAGTGCAAGAATCTACGACACACGAGACGATTTTAGTTTTTGAGATATAAATTTCCTACCCAATAGCAGCAATTTACCAACTGCACCTGTATATAAAATATGCATTTCCCAACTCATTCTGTATTCAAAATCTTGCAGCTGCAACACAAACTTTATAAAACGTCACCAGTGTCTGGACAGAAAGTTGATAAACCAGGGGTGTGCCAAAAAAGTCTCGTCCTTTTCTAAAATAAAGTTCGTCGGAAGGTAATAAAACCTTGTTGATAAATATTCCGTATCAACTTTACAAATAATACATGATCATTTTTAATTTTAGTTTCTTGTGTATAATTTGGAGTTTAGTATGACGTCCATTATCACTGAACTAGTATACATATTCGTTTAGGGCCAACTGAAGGACGCCTCCGGGTGCGGGAGTTTCTCGCTGCATTGAAAAACCATTAGTGGCCTTCGGCTGTTGTCTGCTCTATGGTCGGGTTGTTTTCTCTTTGACACATTCCCCATTTCCATTCTCAATTTTATGATGGTCTTGAAGTATATATTCTAGGAACGGTCGTTGTTAATCATCTTAGTTGCGTGTTATAGTGTTGTTTTCATTTGATTTTGTATTTTGTCTAACCTTTACTGTTTTGCCATTGTGTTATTGTGCTATAGTCTTTTTTGTATTCTTGTCTTTCATTTTTGCTTATGTGCCTTGTCTATAGAGTGTCAACATGCCATTTTGTTTTTCTTTGTTGACATAATTGTTTGTTGTTATACTGGATAATAACACAATGTTGAATGTTGTACCTCTATGATTTTTACCAATTATGTCCGTTTGTTTTGGTCACATATCGTTGTAAAAATAATGGAATTTTATGAGACTATCACACAAATGAGAGGTTTAGCTTTTGATATTGTCATTTGTTAACTGACTTTCCGTTTTAAAATTTCGGTTTGGTTTCTTTGTTATTTTATTTTGGTTGTATTTTCGTACAACCGACCAGTATCATCGGAATAAATCCAATTTTGGTCTGTGATTGTCCAATAACTGTACTCGAATAGTACAACTATTGGTCGAATTAGATGTAATAGTTTTTTTTCTCGGTATAAAGAATAAAATGAAAAGTTTTTATATGTTTGGTAAATGTTTTATTAGGCCGTGTCTGTGACAAAAATCTGTAAAGTCAATTATTAAAAGACAATGTTTTGATATAGCACACTTATTTCTTTCAAATGTGTGGTTTCATTCTCATTACATAATACGATTTATATGAAGGACAAGTAACAAACATATCTATTTTTAGGGTCCCGGAATTTGTATATACAACGACGAGACTTTTAAGGATATTGACTGGAGAGGAATAAAGAAAATAGGTGCCAGTTTTAAGAGGAAATTGAATGAACCACTAAAAGTTGGAAGATTTGGTCAAGGCTTTAAATCAGTTTTCCATATCGCAGGTAATCTTGTTGTCACGGACGGACGGATGGAGCAGTCTCTCAGTGCTCTTTTACAATTGTGATCAAAGAATCAACTATTAGAATAAATAAGTTATTTAATAAACAAAGAAAATCAATTAGAAAAAAAAACACAATATCATAGATGCTAGTCCGGTAGGACGGTTATCTGTAACGTGCACGACAGTTTCACACTATAATTGTAGATATGTTGTTCATGATGTTCATGTTGTTCATGTTGTTATGACTGTAGGACCCACTCCTTAACACCGCAGCATTGTAATACTCGGGTGCAGGCTAGAACCTAATAATAATATAATTGTACAAAATCCTTTAATACCATTTTCAATTAGATGTGCATTTTACACTCACGTTCATGTAACACAAAAAATGAACTCTGTATTTCACGTTCATATAATGAACACTTGTATTCTATCAATTTACGAAAATGAATACGCGCATACATTTCATATGTAGCAAATATGTCATTTACTTAAATAAATATCATAGTTTGCATGATAGTTTCACGTACATAAGGAAATTCGGTACCTTATACACATAGATATCACGCACATTCAATTTGTACCCGTAATTAACAAAAAAAAAGTAAAATCACAAAAATACTGAACTCCAATCTTGTTCTTATTCGCTAGTAAAAAATGCAAATATCTGAATATAAAACAATGTTTTTATATCTTTAAATCTGTTTACAAAGCATTCTAAATTATACAATTTATATAAAGGAAATTTGTCGGCAGAAGTCCGAAAGTTTCAGAAATTCAATAAAAAGCATCAGATACAGTATAAATAAATGTAAGAATAAATCACTTACCTCAAAATTGATGAACTATATACAAAAAACAGCAGAACTACTGTAGGTTAAATTTAAATATCAAAAATGTAAAAAAATAGGTGGGAGAGAAAAAAAGATTCTAAAAGTGGAAGGTGGGAGAAGGGTACCCCCTGTCCATCCCCTCCGTAATGGTATCTGTCCATCCCCTCCGTAATGGTATTATACCTGAGAAATATTTTTATTGTTGTAAGTATTAATTAACCATTTAACCATGAACCAGTTCAATTGAAGCCTGAAATACTGAAATCTATGGTGTACGAGAGGTATCTCTTAAAGTTCATCTAATAGGAAAAACATCAGTTTCAAAAATGATAAAGCTTGGGCACGGCAACACATAAGAAAACATGTAAGGAAAAACCATGTTTTCACAATTTCATTGATTTAGTATACCGAGCTTGCGTTTCGTGTCATGGTTTCCTAGATATGGTGTTGCTGCTTACAACAAGGACGCAATTGATTAATTTCTTCGACTTACTATTGTCATTTCCTACATTCAGAGTTTATGGCTTCCCCCAGCGTAACACAACTTGGTTGATTATTTTCTCTAAATATATAAATGAAACGTATCCAAATTAAATCTTTCTCTTTCAGAAATAAACGCTGTTTGCTTACACATTGTTATCAATATAATAGAATTTTATGCGACTGTCATACAAGTAGCTATAAAACAGGTTTAATCCGCCGTTATCTACATGATGAAATTTCTGTCCTATGTCAGGAATATGACAGTTGCTTTCGATTTGTTTTATGTGTTTGAGCTTTTGAATTTGCCATTTGTTAAGGGACGTTCCGTTTTGAAGTTTCGGTTCGGTATTTTTTTGTTTTTTTACTTTCTAGTAATATAACAACTTTAAAGCATGATTGGTCAACAAAAGAAGATGTAGTACTTTGATTTCTGTAATTGCCAGCATTAATTGAGGAGTTATTGTTTATTTTAATTTTAATCGTACCTGTACAATAAGATTAAGCTCTAAAACAAGTTTATCTCTGAAATATTTTTCTTCTTTTGTTTTACCTAATGTATATGTACTTAGCTACTGGCAGGAACGTCTTCAGTGATTGTTTTTTTTTTTTTTTTGTTTTTTTTTTTATTTATAATTTGCTTTTCCTTTACGACATTTTGTATTGTTGACAGATTTCCGATAACTATTGTATTTATTTACTTTTATAAATACGGGACGCTTTAGTGCTTGATATGTAATCTAGAGTTGACGTTTGACTTGTAGATGTCTTTTTGATTGTGTTGATTGTTTGCTTTTTTATTACTTACTGTAGCCCCAGATCTGCTTAGCAACACAGTGATTCAGATTATTACTTCCACAATTTCTTCGTACAAAACAATTTTTCATTTTTAACAGATCATGTTGTAATTTTGAGTGGAAAGAAACTTTTGATCATCGATCCGTTAAAGTCAGAAGAGAAGGAAGATGATTGCTGGTCTGCCTCTCTCAAAGACCTTTCAGAAGATGACTCACCGCAGAAAACACTGACTTGCTTTGACTGTAAATATGGTTTCAACAGTGACATAATATTTGAAGATGAACCGGAATATGAAGGGACCCTGTTTTGGATTCCCCTTCGGGAGAAAAGTAGTTTGATATCTCCGAAATTGTACACAAACGAAAACATCTATCAGTTATTTGAGTCTTTCAAACGGGAAGCTCCGATTATACCATTATTTCTTAGACATATCAAAAATCTAGAACTCTCCTTTGGCCAGACAGATAAACTTTCATACCGCGTAGAATTGGTAGAGGAACATGTGTTAGAGGGCAATAAAGAGTATGAAAAAGTTATCCGAGAAATCGAACAACGGAAATCACTCCCCGATACTACAATATCATCAGTTAGAGAAGTAGTTGTACAAACATATCCACGTGCAAGAAAAGGTTTCACGAAAGACCATTGGACTATAGTTCAATATCTTTACGGATCTACTCAAATGTCACAATCAATGAAATTGTTATCAAGAGATAAGGGCCTTTCTCTTAGTCCGTGTACTGGTATTGCCTTTTGCACAAAATCGAACAGTGTAAATAAACTATCAGGTCACGTGTTTTGCTTTCTTCCGTTGCCTCTATCAGATAGAAGTATTTCAGGATTGCCGGTACACGTAAATGGATTTTTTGCATTGGAGCATAACCGATGTCATGTGAAGTTCGGATGTGATCAAGATCAGAATGATAATAGCTTATTGTGGAACGATGGACTGATCAGCGAATTTTTGCCCCAAAATTATAACCATATACTTTGCCATTTTAAGGAAATGTGTAAAAAAGATGGAAACACTCCCGATCTTGTGGAAACATTCTACAAATTGATTCCAGATCCCGACATTGTAGATTTACAATGGCATCTTCTTTTGAAACCTTTGTATGCTATTCTGTTAAAAGATACAAGCTTTTATACAACTCAGAATGGTGGTAAATGGATACAAATAGATGATTCTGTAGCTGACATTTTTTATGGTACCACACAAAACGAACATGAAAAAGTTTTGCAAGTGTTAGAAAAACTTTTGATCGATTGTGGCGTTAACTTTATAAAATTACCAAAAAATATTAAAAAAGTGCTTAAATATATGGATCATAATCCAATGTCAATTACGCCACAACTCATAAGGGACAACCTGCGAAGTTCTGAGTGCTGGCAAGAGTATAAAATCGTCCAGAAGCTTTCGATACTTGCATTCATCCTTTCAGATAAACAATATGGCGAATTAGATGGATTAAACCTTCTTCCTCTAAGTGATGATGAACATACATTTTCAAAATTTTTAAATGACGCCGAGGATATATATGTTCTCTGTGATGAAAGTTTAGACCTATTTCCTGGGTTTGAAAGAAGGCTTGTATCAAAGAAAAATGTACCAGATGGAGTATGGAAAGAGTTGGTTGAAATTGCTGAGAAAGGTAAAGTGATTTATTTGTATGGAAACATAATAAATTTCATTGAAAGTTTGCAATGCACATAAACCTTTTGACTTTTCACATACACCACATACATAATGCTTTAATCAACGTGTCAATGAATTCGACTGATCAGCAGCTTTAACGTACCTTATCAGGATGCAGTTTTTAAATTATACTATTATAGTTTCAATACTTTTGCAGTATACAAGTTCGTATTTCATTCAAATATCAACACAAAGTCGTGAAACCAATATGGTGGAGTAGTATTTGTAACCCGTCCCTAGCAGTTTTAACACGAAACCCAAGCAATCATGGATATCTATAAAAAAAAAGTGTCCAAACGCTTTTTTACATGAGGAGCTATATGACCAATAGTGATCTAAAATATTACACAAAATTTTTCCTATTAGAGTATGATTATAGTTATCAAAGGTACCAGGCTTATAATTTGATACGCCAGACGCGCGTTTCGTCTACATAAGACTCATCAGTGACGCTCCGATCAAAATAGCTATAAAGCCAAAGAAGTACAAGTTGAAGAGCATTGAGGACCCAAAAATTCCAAAAAGTTATGCCAAATACGGCTAAGGTAATATATGCCTGGGATAAGAAAATCCTTAGTAATTCGAAAAATTCATTATTTTGTAAACAGGAAATTTATAAAAATGACCATATAATTGATATTCATGCCATCACCGAAGTGCTGACTACTGGGCTGGTGATACCCTCGGGTACGAAACGTCCACCAGCAGTGGTATCGACCCAGTGGTGTAAATAGTTATTAAAGGTACCATTTTTATAATTTAATACGCCAGATGCGCGTTTTGTCTACATAAAAATCATCAGTGACGCTCAGATCAAAATAGTTATAAAGCCAAAGAAGTACAAAGTTGAAGAGCATTGAGGACCCAAAATTCCAAAAAGTTATGCCAAATACGGCTAAGGTAATCTATGCCTGGGATAAGAAAATCTTTATTTTAATTTTATAACATTTAAAACAGTTTAATATCTTAAATTCTAATAACATATGCTTACATTTTCCAATAGGGCTATATCAACTAAAGCTCGTAACCAATGAAGTTCTCCCAGATATGTTTCAACAGATATTTAAACTTCATTGTAAAACAGAAAGGGCCAACATATTCACTGCTGAAACCAATCAGGTTTTAACTCGTACATGGATTGAAAGTGTGTGGAAGTACATATATTCCAGAGGTATTGATAATTTGCGTATATTTGAAAACGTTCCACTTATTCCACTTTTTGATGGAAAAAAGCCAGAAAATGTTTTGAGTGGACAAGAACAGGGGAAAAGTATTGCAGTACAATTTTTCTGTTTAGAGGGAAAATATATGCTGACTGAGTATGAAAATATACCAACGTTACCAGCACCTGTACAAAAAGTAATCCAGTTGACTGGGATACAGTTATTTCCTCCAGCAAAGACTATTGGTTTCTCGTACGAGGATGTTTTTGGAAAGTATATCAAACTTCCAACACCTGAAAACGTCGTAAGCTGTTTCGAATTTTTACAATCAGACAGTTTGATTTCTGAAGTATCTCGAAAAATCAATAACATCTGCACCGACCAAGAACGAGCTAATCTTGCAAGGTACCTCAACGACCATTGTTCTGCAATAACATCATGCTCACAGTATTTGTTAAAGGACATACACATGTTTTACCATTCTGACAATATACAACATCCAGAAATAGTTTCATGGAACGACAATAGTTCTACGGTATATGCATCACCATTCCCAAAAGGATTATCATATCCACGCTCGTTTCTTCTTCCTGATTGTGCAAATTTATTGACAAAGTTTGGAACCATTCAAGTAAACAAATGTCAATTGCTAAGTGAAATTGTTCATTTAATGCTTAATGATACAAAATACAAATCAGAAGATAAACTAAAATTCATGATTTATTTAAAGGGCCAACCAACAAATGTACTGGATGTACAACTGAAAAAGGCAATGGATATAAACTTCATACCTTCAAATGACGGACGAGATCACCGCGTTAAAGATTTGTTTGATCCAACTTCTGGACGTTTAAAAGATCTTTTTCGTGGTAAAAAAGGAGTATTTCCTGATGAAGAATTTGTAAATCAAAATAACTTACTCACTTTTTTAAGTCAACTTGGAATTAAAAAAGAAGGAGACATTACTTCTAAAAATCTTATCGAGGCAGCATTTGATGTTGACAATGCCAATGACTCTCAAAACCGTGTGAGTAAAGCAAAAGCATTGATCTCATTTTTAGTGGATAGCCCAGACAGCATATCAAAAGAAGAATTTAAAGAAATCAAAGAACTAAAATGGATACCTTGTTGTAGAGAAAAGCCTGAAAGCTATCCATGCAAGCTTGAACTTTATGGTAGAGAAGAAAAATTTTGTTCTCCAAAAGAAGTTAAACACTTTCAATTTGTAAATATCATAGGAACTATAAAACCACTTGTAGATGTTTTTCCAGCAGAAAGCAAAGTTTCTATGTTTTATGAATGGAACTCTGAACCTGATGTCGAACTAGTCATAAGACACTTAGAAAAATTGATGCAAGTCTACAGCAAAAATGATAATTCAAAATATATCAGCATGTCAAGGTATATTTTCGGATTTTTGAGCCAACAAAGAAAGAAAGGCTTTTTAGATATAAGTAGACTGCAGACACTAAACTGCGTTCCAACAGATATTTATGGTTTTAAGTCAGCCAAAACTGTAGTCTTGAAAATGCATTGTAATAAACTAAAGTACAGTCTGAAATTGGAACCATACATTTTCCAGCTCTCGCAGGAACTAGCATGCTTCCATGAATTATTTCAGGAAATAGGTGTCAAATCAGTGGTTGACTTTAAAATGTTAGAATCAGTTCTTATTCAGATTAGAGATAGATACCACACTACGACTGACGGTAAAGGTGATAATTTTGAAATCATTCAAGACAGAAAGTTTACAGTGGATATACTGAAACATATTGTCAGTATGAACATTGATAAAAATCTAATGATGGGTTTATATGTTCCAGTTATGTCCGATGATGATTCACTAGTCTTTGACTATGTGAAAAACTGCACTTTCTCAGAAGATGTTCGCAATATAAATGAAGACACTGGAATAGTATTTGTTCATCCCGATATTTCTGAGGTTGCATCGCAGCTAGGTATAGCATCTTTAACAAAAAGAACGTTAGAAAAGAGTACCGTTTTCATACCATGGGGTCAAAAGGAACCATTGACCACAACCATTGCAAATGAACTTGAAAGTTATGCTGATGGATTTTCTATTCCAAAAGAATTACTTCAAAATGCCGACGACGCTAAGGCAAAACGGATTGGTTTTTTATACGATGAAAGGGAAAACAAAGATTTTCGAGATAAGTTGTTTGATAAAGGCATGGCTGAGTGTCAAGGACAGGCGTTATGGGTTTATAATGATGCCATGTTTCAACAAAAAGATTTTATTAGCATTTTAGATATTGGGGGTAAAACGAAACTAATGGACAATGATAAAATTGGAAAATTTGGATTAGGATTTTCATCTGTATACAATTTAACAGATGTACCGAGTTTTATCAGCGGTGATACTTTAGTCGTATTAGATCCACATTTGCATCATCTTGGAGATGCAGTTCAAAATAACGAACCGGGAGTTCGCGTACAAATTACGAAAGATATATTGACGATATATAAGAATCAATTCAAACCATTTGAAGGCATATTTGGCTGCAAACTTGATACTGGTGATGATGGAAAATTCAATTATAAAGGAACCCTCTTTCGTTTTCCGCTGCGTACTTATACACAAGCTACTCTAAGTAAAATTAAATCAACAGAATACAGAAAGAGAGAAATGACAGAACTATTAAATAAATTAATATCGGGAGCTGCAAACTTATTACTTTTTACACAGAATGTTACTGAACTAGTCGTATACCACCTTGATGGAAAAAGTTGTAATCCAGAATTTGATCAACAGCTATTGTACAAAGTTGTCAAATCAAACGTTGGAAGCGAAGAAGAACCGTTTTTGCAAACTATTGTCGCCAAAAACCATCTACACAAAGGCTCTAAACAAATTTCACGCATTCAAACAATTGATATAAAGTTTAATCTTACAGACAAAATACAACGATTGCCAACAAATTTAAAACCATTTTCTGGAAAGCAATCTTGGATTGTTTCATGGGATACTGGAAAAAGTTCATTTGATCTTGAAAAGAAATTAAGAAACACAGGTGCTGTCACAATTGGCAGTGTTGCCATCCCTGTTGATAGTAACGGGAAAATATTACAACTTTCTGAAGTCCCTGAAGGTTTCTATTCAGTGAGTCACCTGTTTTGTTTTTTGCCATTGCCTCAACAAACATCGCTACCATTACATATCAATGGGTGTTTCATGACTGCTCGGGACAGAAGATGTATTGTCACATATAATGAGGATGATATTTCAAATGTGAATTCGCAATGGAACGATGCTTTACTAACAGATGTAGTTCAAAATGCATACATTAATCTTGCAAGTTTTATCACTTCAACATCTTCAATCAGCAACGTGTTAGATGGTTACTGGGAAGCATGGCCACTTTCCACCGAAAATGATCGAGCCATCAGCAACTTGGTAAAATCATTTTATAAAAATGTGTTGGAAAGAGACCCAGTTGTTTTCTATCGGAAAAGTAAAGATGCAGTTATTTCCTGCTCATTTAGTCACATGTTATTCTTGGAACCCACATTTCGAAACGTTCAAACCATCGGCCAAATTGCTTTCGAAAGTCTCATTAACTTTTATCATGGTTCAGAAACTGTCATTGACATGCCTGTGGAAGTTTGCAAAATGTTTGACATGGCAAACACAAAAATACAAGAAAAACTAATATCGAAAGACAAATTTTATGAGACATATTTTTTTCCTCATATGACAGATAATTACTGGAAATCGCCAAGTAGATCTACCCAACGCGACATACTATTAAAGTTTGCATTGGAAAACCAAACACTGCATGAGCTCATCAAGACAATTGAGTGCATACCAGTGAAACAGAGTGATACCCTACGAAAACCATCCGATTTAGTATCCCTTACAGGATCAGTTTCTAACATGTTTGACACTAATGACCAATGCTTCCTTAGAGAAGATTTTGAGGCATACACCAGTACATTAGGAGAAATGGGAATGATGGTCGATGCTGTGACATCCAAAGTTCTTTTGGAAAGGGCATGTTCATTGCAAACAGCAAAGAATCTAGATCTCAATGAGGCACTTCAAAGATCTTCATCAATTATGAAATATTTGAATAATGCTATTGAAAATCATCAGGATGTGACCAGCAGTCTGAAAAAAATACCGTTTTTACCAGTCATGTCAAAGCCTGAGGATTGGCCATCCATTATTCCATGGAAAAACGACATAGTTGAGAGAGATAAGATATTTCTTCCACCAAAAGATTTGTTTCTTTCTGAAGATAGATTTTTGATCAGTGCCATTGGCTTTATCTCAGGACACAACGATCATACCAAGGTTTTACAGTTAATTGGAATCAGAGTGGTAGAAATAAAGGACGTAATAGAACAACTAAAGATAATTGGATCCCTAAATATTGGCATTAATTCTGAAATTAAAGAAATGGGTTCGAGAATATATGGCTATATAAATAAGTATCTAGAAAATTATCCGGACAACCTGGTTAAAAGAGAGTTAAAACATTTACAAAATAAAAATATTGTTTTCATTAAAGAAAAAATGGTCTCTCCGTCGCAGGTATCAATAAACTTAGAGAGTGATTGTGATCCGTATCTGTATGAGATCGATCCAATATTCCAGGAATATACTGCATTGTGGAATCACATGGATATTCCAAGATATTTCGATTTAGATACTTTTCTGAATGTTTTACAGAAGAGGAGTTATCAGCTCAAGGAAATCAAAATGTCGTCTACAGATGTTAAAAGCATTGTCAACATCTTGAAAAACATTTGTTCTTTATTGAAACGCGAAAAACGGGATCTAAAGAGGACAGAAAAAGACAAATTATTTATACCGGATACGCAATGCATTCTTAGATCAATAGAAAATATTTGTTTTGACGACGAATATAAAGGAGTACTTTTCGGTGAAAACCAATTGAATTGCATCCATCCCTTCGTTCAACATGAATTTGGAATTGTAGAAACTTTAGGTATAAAGCCGAAACGTACACTTCATCTATCTCGCTATTCTAATGTTCTACCATTTGGACAGAAAGAAAAACTTGTGACGCGGCTCCGGGGAATAATATCTGCCTATCCAAGGGATCACTCTATTTTGAATGAACTATTGCAAAATGCAGACGACGCTGGAGCTACAGAGGTTCATTTTGTCCTTGATATGCGACATCATGGAACACAACATGTTTTCAATGATTCATGGAAGAAATTCCAAGGTCCAGCATTGACAGTATATAATAATTCTTGCTTTTCAGAAACAGACCTAGATAAAATTCAAGAACTAGGTCATGGGAGTAAGTCAGATGACCCCACAAAAACAGGACAGTTTGGTATTGGTTTCAACGCCGTGTACCATTTAACAGATGTTCCTTCCTTTCTCACACGAGGACCTAGTACTCCAGAAGGTAGTACATTCTGTGTTTTCGACCCACACTGTACTAATGTTTTAATGGTCGATCAGAATTCCACTGGATTGCGTTTGGATGATGTCAACATTTTACAACAAAGTTATGAAGATGTTTACAACACCTATTTGCAAAAGGAACTGGTTTCAGATACAGGCACGTGGTTCCGATTTCCACTGAGAACTCAGGATATGGCGGAAAAATCTGAAATAAGTGATACTATTGTAGATGAAAATTCGGTTAAAAAAATGTTTTTGACAATGAAATCCAATATGAAAAAAAGTCTATTATTTTTAACCAATGTGCGTAAAATAAGTTTGTCTTACATTAAAAAGGATGGTACAAAGTTATCTGACACTGAGTATGCTTTTTTACAAATGAATTCTGAAGATAGTCAACAAAAAGACAATTTTGTACACAATTCCAATTTTCAATTTAAATCATTGCAAGAGGAAAAATTGAATTTAAGAAAGTTTGAACACATGAAAGTCAGATATAATGTAAAGCTACACGATAACACAGAATATGTTGAAAGGTGGTTGATTGTAGAGGCATTTGGATTTCCGGATCTAAAAGATGTACCAGCAGAAGTTGTTAAAGCATTTAATGAAAAAGAAATAATGCTTTCACCCAAAGGCGGAGCAGCAACTTGCATAGAATCATATAACAGCGAAACAAAAGACAAAAAGTATTTTGAGATGGAAAATGGTAGAGCATTTTGCTTTTTGCCGCTGCCCATTTCAACTGGCTTACCAGTTCATATCAATGGTCACTTTGCTTTAAGTTCAAATAGAACTCAGATATTTGGTGGCCTTTTCAAAGATGATATACGATGTATGTGGAATCGTTGCATTGTTGATCAAACAATAGCATATGCATATGCAAGTCTTCTAAAATACTATCAACAAGAAATTGAAAATCGTACATATCGGCATGCAGTCAAAAAGTTTTTCGACTGCTTTCCTGTTTTTGTTTTTGCAAAAGAAGATATTTGGAAAGATCTAACATTTTCAACTTACAAAAGTATTATCAGACAACAACTGAATATTTTTCCAGTAAGCCCGTCATTTAAAAAACATGAATGCTCTATTCATCAATTATCTCAGCAATTGGAACAAAATAAGAATTTCAAAATCATGAAATGGGTGCCTCTACAAAGTACTCTAGGAAGGTGTCCAGCATTCTTTGATGATCTTGATTTTGGAACAACGATCTTTGATGTCATCAAAGCAAGTGAAGGAACAACCAAATCAACAAAAAGATGTACATTTTATGGGGAACAAAAATTAAGAGAGGTGCTAATTGATTTAGGAATGAATATAATATGTGTTCCCACAGGAATTTCTAGAAGCATTAGTCAAGCATGTACACGTAGAGTACATATCAGAGAGCCCTATAAAGAAAATAAAAAAACAAACATGAAAAAAACATTCTCTGAAAAAGGAAAACACAACCCTGATGAAAACCAACGCCAAAATTGCATATGCTCAAAATCCGTAACTCCTATTGTCGTTATTGATTTCTTAAAATCCTGGAACAGCGGGGCTTCAGATAAGTGTGTTATTTCCATTTCCTCTGGTGAATTACTTGATGATACACCGTTTAGAGATATCAGCAGACTAATGTCTGTTTTAGAGTTTTGTTTGATGGGAAATATTAAAAGTATTGACGAATTAGTAGGCGTACCGCTGCTTGTCCGAAATGACAATAGTTTAACCGCTTTTTGCACAGAAAATAATTTGATCTTGTCAAAGTATTGTGAACTTTTTCCGCGATCGGCTGACAAATTTGTTCATCAATGTGTATGGCCAAGTTTGATGGCGTTCAAAGAAAGTTTCAAGATATTGGAGATAACAACATTTTCAGAATTGCTACCATATACACTTGAGAAATCAATATATGAGAATTCAGAACCAATTGACTGGATCTCATCGGAAGATAAATTAGATGAACAATGGTTAAGCATGCTCTGGGAATTTCTCAACACACAAGAAAATATTGTCAATGTTCTAAGAAACTGGTGCTTATTGCCTTGCTTATGGTTCAACGATGAAAATAAGCTAGTATCGTTTCAAATGGCATATTGTTTGTTTCACGAAGAGAGAGTCGAAGTATCAAAAGACAATTTGAGTAAGATAATGATCAAACTCAAAATCCCATCGCCAAATACCACAATATGTGGTACCAAACACTTATCAGATACAGTGGCCACGGTTTTTAAACCTACAAAATTCGTCGAATGTTTACATTTTCATAGGAAAAGTGTTCAGTGGAATAACCTTACCACAGATGAATGTGACCAGCTCCTGACTTTTTTTAACAACTCCATGGATTCACTTGATTTTCTAACCCTTTCAAAGTTGAAAACATTATTTCTGTTTACAACAGTTGTTGAAAATATCGTTAAGCTGGATGATGCCCATAAAGTTCTTGTTGTTAAGAGTTCCGATTGTATGACAGTGTTTGACGGATTAGATGATTTGTGTATAGCAAAGAAAACAATACTAATAAAACACAATTCATCACACGAAAAATTGTATGGGAAAATTGGATGTATCCTTTGTTACGAAACGAAGAAGAAGAGGAACAAATGTTTGAAGTTTAAGCATCCTTTACTGGGCCTTTACAAACAGTTCATACTACCGAATTTTTGCCATTTGAACCCAAAGGCTCACATGCCCCATCTTACCTTCATCCGAGATGAATTGTTGAGATTTGAAGAAATTAAAGAAGATTTACTCAATTTGGAGTTTGTTCCAACTGAGAGCACTTCACGTTATAAAAAGGCAGGTGTGTTTTACAGTCCTCATAACAGTATATTCCGTGAGCTTTGCAACGATTCTGAACTTCCACCTACACCTTTTTCAGAAAATGACTGGAAAGAATTCATGGAATATGCAGGGATGAAAAGTACGGTTTCCTTGCAGATGGTAATTAATTTTGCCAAGACAATTCAGCAAAATGGAAAATCTCCTTGTTCAGAAAGACAATCGAAATTACTAATTGAACATTTGTTTTCTTTCTCCAATCTTGAAAAGGACACATATGTACTATCAATAATTAGTCAGATAAATTTTATCACACCTTGTACGATTTCTGATCAGTACAGATCTATTTACAGCCCTGTAAGTGATGAACGACTGATATCCTTTAAAGATAGCATACCACCAGGGTATATTGACTTGTGCTGGACAATGGAAGTTCTACTACCTGAGTATGCCTTACCAACTAATGAATTGATACTTAAACACCTTAATGTTAAGGAACAGCCTGATTTAAAATGTGTCGTTTCACATATCCATAAGGTGTGTGAATCGTTCCAACGATCTGGTATTCAGAAAGAAAACAAGTCATTTATAAAGGACCTAATGGAAACTTTTTATAAATATCTTTCCAAACTTCCAGAACATTCTATGATGGAGGCAAAGGTAATGTTAGGTCAAACAGCAATTATTTACTTTGTTGAACATGGGCAGTTTTTGCAGGCAAGTAGTGTTGTAATTCACTTACAAAGAAATTATCAAATTCCACCTTACTTGCTTAAGTGTTCTGATTGCTACGGAGAATACTTCGATCTGTTTAAGATACTTGGTGCCACAGAAAATGTTTCGATTCATCAGTACAGTAATATATTAGCTACAATGAAGAACAAAGCGCAAGAGAAACCTCTCACAGTACAAGAATTGAAATCTTTCGAATGTGCATTTGTAGGGCTATTGTACTGTCTAGAGAATTATACACAAAAGGATGCAGACAAAGATAGCAAAATGCATTTGTATTTACTCAATGAAAAGAACGTTCTCAAACTTGCGAGTATTCTTACAATAAATGATCGTAATGTGTTTAGGTCACGGATCGGAAATGTAAAACAAATTGATTTTATGTGTGACTTGGCACCTCTCATATTAGACGGTCTTAATCCTGTTGCTCGTCTTCTGCGCCTACCTGCAAACAGCAGACCTTATACTATCACACAATCTGTAAAAGAGAAGGTTGTTTCCACGGAATCAATTGTTCCAAGCGATGTAGCTGCAAAATTAGAACTGTTTTTATCTGGTGATTTATTCAGCTATGCAATCCTTCGTTTAATGAAAACATTTCAGGTCAAGAAAAATATGAAAATTAGTGAGAGTGAATTTAAACAAGTAACTGATCAACTTAAAAAACTTCGAGTGCGTGCCTTGGTAACTTTAAAAACAGTTCTCGTATACAAGAACGAGGAGTGTAAAGCAAGCATAAGAAACAAAACAGTTTTCTATGCCCAAGATGAAAATGTTATGTATGTAGAGTTTCGAAAAAATCTCACAGATTCATGGTTATCGAGAAACATTATTTGGATTTCAGACGGTATTAAAGAGATAGCTTTTAAAAAGATATATATTAGCGACATCCAGGCAATCATGCCCTTCTTAGAATTATCCAGGACTGAACTTGAAGAAGAGTTGAACAAGCTTGAATTTGTAGATGCTGACTATAAGTTTGAAGGTATTTCCTGGTTTCCTTTACCTGGAACACCTGTTCAAGAGGAATTTTTAGGTTTCTTATCCTCAGAATTTTCTTCATTCGAAGCAGGAGACTATGCTGTATATGAAGTTTTTGACAATACTGGAGATGACATCGATGATGTGGTGTCAGTTTACATTTATGTAAAGATAGTAGAACAGCTGAGAGATGATTTAGAAACATTTCCGTTGTACGTGATAAATACCGGTGAGGACGTTGAATTAAAGATAAGGTCACATAGACTTTATAATGTCATCAGGCCAGAACTAAGTGCATCAGCAGATATTCAACTATACACCCGGAGCCAGGTGGAGCAGACGATTGACCAAAATGAACAAATTTTTCAAACAATAGAAATATTTTTAGTTCATGCATGGCGCCTAGGACCCGATGAGTTTAAAAATGTTGTTCGCCGCCTGGTTCTAAGATGGCATCCCGATAAGAACGAAAATTCATCTTTCTGTGGAGAAGTTTTTAAACATTTAACCAATTTCGCCACAAAACTGCAATCAGGTGAAATAGATGTAAGCAAAATTGATGTAAGAAGAAACTATGAAAATGGTCAGTGGGAAGAATATTTACGTAAAGCTACGTGCTATGGAGACGATGTGGATGGAACTTCAAAAGATTATGCATTTGATATTCACGGATTTGCTAACCGAGTCGGAACAAAACGTCCAAGAGATTGCCAACATCATGGTTCATCATTCCAAAATCCACAACCACATATGGGTCGCATCTGGATTAAACAAGCCAAATTCGATATGTCTGCTGCACGACTATCTTTAACCACAGCAACCGATAGGACATATAACTGGGTGTGTGTACAGAGTCACCAAGTAAGAAAATTTCAATGTTAGATTTAATTTTGAAAGATCGGTTTCAAAACATTCATATACAGTAAAGCTAAAGATCGTTCTTGTCGTCACACAATGTTCTCTATTGGTTTTTTTATTCATTGTTCTGTAATTTGTTTATTTTGTATCACTAAAAGCACTAACTATTGCGTATTCCATAAAACGTGTGTGCACTGAACTCATACATAGTTTCGTGTACGTTTTGAACTACCACCGGGTGAATATTGCTGCTGGTGGCCTTTTTTTATTTTGATTGTAATTTTTTTAGTTAAGATGATATATTATTGTATCAGGGTCCTCGGTGGCCGAGTGGTCTAAGAAAATTACTACTGTAATCACTGGCCAGTCAACATGAGGTTGTGAGTTCGAACCCCGCTCGTGTGGGTGCACTCGACTCCAATCTTAATTGACTAGGATTGTCAGTTTTCCTATTGAAGGTCGGTGGTTTTTCCCGGACACTCCGGCTTCCTCCAGCAATAAAAACTGGCCACCACGAAATAGCCCAAAAGCGGTGCTTAAAGGTGACGTTAAAACCAAAAAATCAAAATTAAATCAATATTATTGTTTCTTAACCCAGATTTTAGATTCCTTGTCATGCTTGGGGAACGATGTTATTAGAACAATTTTACTCATCTGTTAAATCCCATTTTCTTCTCAAACCAAACTCCCTAACATTGTATGTACTATATTTCGCTTCACATTCTTTGAGGTAGGGCATGTCTGATGAAGCTTATTTCAGACACCGGTATATCGTGCGCTTAGATATTGGTACGTTATCTGAATATGAAAATAAGCATTTAAAATGTCCATTTTATTCTACAAACACAAACTGCATAGTATCAAGTCAGGAATATGACAGTTGTTGTCCATTCGTTTGATATGTTTGAGCTTTTGATTTTGACATTTGATTAGGGACTTTCCGTTTTGAATTTTCCTCAGAGTTCAGTATTTTTAATTTTGTGATTTAATTTTTTTGTTCACAAATAATTTCTTACTCTTATTGGAAATAAAAAAAAAAACACGGGCACTATTGCATATCATGACTAATAAAAACACTTAATTTTGTTTCTCCCTTCTTTTTACTAAAAGTTTTAGATTATTTGTTAATAAAGCAATATAGTGCACCAAAATACGAAACACCAAAGACATATAATAAATATATTATTATATTTGGAAGCACTAAAAAGTAAACAAAACAATAATTAGGTACGATTTCTAAGTTGAAATTCATTTAGTTAACGCACTACGAACCCAGCGATTAAAATTGTAAATTAAAACGTTTGTATTTTTTCCAATACGATTATGTTCAATAAGACATCGATTACATATGAACAGGGAATTTCTAAATTCATTTTTCAGATATTTTGGTAACAGTTGCGATATCGAAAAAATACAAAAATACGTAATTAATGCTATTTCGACTATTAAAGAAGGTTTGGTCTACCAGTAAGCAAGATCAATTACAAAAAAATGTGCATATAAACGATAGTGTCTAAATATTTTTATGTATGTTTTTCTATTATTTTTCTTAAAGGCCGCAGAAAAGGCTCTCAAGGCAGTACAAGTAGTCGAGGATTCCTCTCAAGTGGGAAACGACCATTTCTTGATGAAATATATAACATTTAGAAATCCAACACTCAAGGATGCTTCACAAAAGCTGGAAAATTTAGTAGTGAACTATTCAAGGATGCGATACCCAAGAATAACGTCATATCCTCTAGCACCATCCGAAATGTATTCCAAAGAACAAGCAGAAGAAAGTGTCCGGTTAGCTTCTATCATTGTTGGCACTGTCGAAGATCAATTCTTTTGATAAGATATACACAAAGTGTACCCTTGTGGAATGTATAGATCATTATGTTATACATGTATAAACACCTTCTTAAAGAGTATCGCATTGACTACTAGTAAAATGAAATCATAGGTTAAATATTGCTAAGTGGTCGCTTAGTTATGTTTTTTAGTCCCTAACTTCGACACATGTTTGAAATGTAAAGAAGTTTGTGATTTCATTGTATCCTATATAATTAATTGAATTGTGATACATTTTGTATAAACATATAGTGTGTCCTGTAAAATTCACTGTATATGTTACAGTAAATAGCTGAAATTAGGAAATACTCGTAATTACTAAAATTTTGGAATTACATTTAATTCCTGATGCACTTAGTTAATCCAAGTAATTCCTGAAACTGCCCAGTTATTACCAGTAATTACTATTTTTTAAATGAATTTTTACACCTATTTACTATCTGTTAAACAATGCTGTATATTAAAAAGTTATCATCCTAATTATATATAACATCTAGTATTCATTAGCATTTTATTATCAATTAGATAATTTTTCATATGTCTTATCAAATAGTAGGGCTTTTTTTATCTATTGTATATAGTTTTACAATTCAGTGCTATAAATTTGTAACGTGTTCTGTTTTTGAATATTAAGTAGCAATTTCCATATTTCATCTTATTATTACATTGTTTTAACATATTTTTGATAATTTATATAATTGTTAGTTATTTTGCTATTTATACCACAAATATGATGCGGTATGATATTATACATTAAGATAAATGTCAAAAGAATTCGGAAAATTGCTGAGTTTTTTTCTACCATTGCTTTCTATGCTGATTGGTCCAGTCTCTACTTCGCACCAAGCGGTGATCCAGGATCCAAGGCTATATACCAATATCATTTCAATAGTTTCAGGATTTTCTAGATTGATGCATTGTATTTGATGGTCATGAATTTATTTGAGCAGATTTATATTTTATATGTTTTCATAGTATTTTGCTACTGTCAAGGCAAAACTATTTCATTATATTGTTTATTGTGCAGGTTGTCGTATATTAAAATACTTTATTTTGACTTGTACATAACATGTGATTTTTGTAGATACTTTTTGTAATTTTTGTTGGTGAATGAGAATTTTGCTTTTCCGTTTGATACATTTTCAATTGATAGTGTGCATTTAGGTACTAGAAAATTATGAAAAGTAGGACTTTCGATATGTTTTAATGAACACATATTGTGTGTTGGGAATAATTATTATTTTCTTTCTTTGATTTCTTTTTTGATGTAAATAACCCGTTTTGCAACTACTGTTGGGAAATCGGACGTTATCCATTTTATAAAGATGTAAAACTAAGAATGATATCCTACTTGTCTAAGCTTATTATGGAAAAACTGTCAAAATTTTCATATGTCATGTATACGTTTTGCTCCGTTTGTATTGTACCAAAAACATATTACCTGATAACAATATTAAATCTATCCCTGGTCGAACCTAGTATACTTATCCCCCGAATTAATTGCCCTGTTACACTTGTTTAAAATTAACTCACTTTTTGATGTTCACTCTTTACAAAAAATAGACACGTATACACCAAAATTGCATCTGTATTTTACATTTTTTGCAACCCAACTGCATTATTTCAAAGTTTTTTTTTCTTAACCCTCATCATCAACCTTCTGATTTGGAGAATATTTTTTGAAAACTTTAAACAAAAAAGATTTTTTACGTTTTGTAAATTCAGAACATATAACCATACACTTCCTGTTGAAATTGTAATATGGTCCATTATAGAACGTGAAAACAGAAAGTGTAAATTATGTAATTCAGACATTGGAGATGAAATTCATTACATTCTTTAATGGTCACATTTTAGTAAAGAGAGAAAAATCTATGTAAAACAAAGCTTAAAAAGAAGGTCAACTATAATACTCATTGTTGAAATTATGTCTTCAACAAACAGCACAGATTTCATTTATCTATGTATGTTAATACGAATTATAAATAATTACATGTTTATATTTGTAATGTTATACATGTCTTCTCTTTGCTTAATACGTTTATAGTGATGAGAATAAAGATATATATGTCAATAAAGGCCAGTTTGGCAGTGCTGGGTAGATAAACATGTTGCTACGTTTTAACTGGTTGAGGATTAAAACAGAATCCGCCTGGAATAATAAAAAATCACGCCCCTTTTGAGAAATTGGCTTTTTAAAATACATACTTGGTTTTTAAAGGATTGTCATACAATAGGGGTATGTGTAATTCTACAAAACCGGGTTCAACCGGAAATTTTATTCAAAAGAACATTGTACTTATGATGCCTACATAACATTCAATGGTTAATAGTTCCGTGACCGATTTGTTGTAGATTTTTCTCTAGCTTACCAGCGTTGGTTTATTTTAGAAAATAAGTACAAGTGTTCTACCTTGAAAAGATTAATCTCCACTCAAAGAAGTTGAACTGAGTTTGACTCTTTAACGACTAGTCCAAGTAAGTTTTTTGGGGGTCGCCTGGTTCACTGTTCGATTCTGAATTTTTTTAATTTTCCCCGGCATGCCAACGAAAAGAATTAGATGATTAACTATCTACCGTTTTCTTAGCCATTATATTGTCATCGAAAGTGGTGTAATAAGCCAGTAAAATACATTATTAGGTCTAGTTATCTTCCAGTATAAAAAGCTTTTTGGTTTGTCCTTACTGGTTTTTATTCGCCGTTTAATTTCAGAATTAGAATTTCAAACAATTGTAAACAATATTCGTACAAAGAATCAATCAATCTTGTTTTTTTTTCATTATGAATATAAAAAAGAAGACGTGGTATGATTACCAATGAGACAACTCTCCACAAGAGACCAAATGACACAAAAATTAACAACTATAGGTCACCGTACGGCCTTCAACCATGAGGAAAGCCCATACCGCATAGTCAGCTATAAAAGGCCCCGAAATGACAAATGTAAAACAATTCAAACAAGAAAAAAAAAATAACGGCCTAATTTATGTACAAAAAAATGAACGAAAAACAAATATGTAACACATCAACAAACGACAACCACTGAATTACTGGCTCCTGACTTTGGACAGGCACATACATACAGAATGTGGCGGGGTTAAACATGCTAGCGGGATCCCAAGCCTCCCCTAACCTGGGACAGTGGTGTAACAGTACAACATAAGAACGAACTATAAAAATCAGTTGAAAAAGGCTTAACTCATCAGATGGATACAAATAGAAATACATCCAATAAAAACAGAGAGTGGACGTGGCCGGGTACTTGTATATCCTAACAACAAAAAGACACTAAGTACAGATCTGAGAGTACTCGCAGTTACTGACAACTAGTTCAAAGCCACTAACAACTAATAAAAAAATCATGCATCTAAGACTAAATTATCAATCAGTACACATCCAACATCCAATGGATTTAGTGTAAAGACGTCATAAACAGTCAGCGAAAAAAATGACCTTGTGCAATGCCAAGATACAGGTATCGTTAGATTGTAGATCCATGAATGTGTATATGTGTATAACAATAATATTTAGTTTGCTTTTAATTCTTTATTCAGTTAGATCAGATTTTTTTTTCACAAAAAGACGAATATTTTTATAACTTAGATTGTGTATTCATATTTTATATTACTTATCATTTGTAATTTGCGTGTTTTTTTATTTTGATAATTATATAATAAAGATAGTATTGCTACTGTTATGATTTATTTGGCATCAGTTGATTAGGGACTTTCCGTTTTGAATTTTCCTCGGAGTTCAGTATTTTTGTGATTTTACTTTTTTTTGCATGTGTTACTTTTATTTGTTGCCTTTATTTATTGAATTTATTGAACTTTAGTTCTGGTCTTGGATCCTGTATTCCTACTCGTCAAACATGACTGACGCGACAAACGTTTACAAATCAGTACACGTTTATAAACACTTTATTTTTTTTTTAAATTATGATGCGGTATGATTGCCAATAAGACAACATTTTACCAGATCACTTGACCGATCTTCAATAATGCCAGAGCAAAACCCATACCGCATAGGGAGCTTATGTTATTTTACATTATCTTAACTCTATCTAGTGTATCTGTTTACTGGTTCCAGAGGAGACTTATTTTTTACATATCATCCATACATTTCGATGAAGCCACAATGACACAGTGGACAAGAATAGCAACATTCGAATAGTATTTCACAAGGTACGTCTTGTCATGTTTGGTCTCTATTTCTGCAGAAATTCATCTGTTAATTATTTCCCCTAGATTTAGGCAACATTTGTTTACTGATGACTGAATCTCATAAATTGGTTTAGAAAACAAACCAGTTACCAAACAAAATCTTGTAGAGCTGCATGAACTCTAAGAGGAGCAAGACCAGGTTCGTCGATAGAGTGGACGTATCCTGCTATGCAAGCATCACCCGTCATGCGGATCCGTGCTCAGTGAAATAGTTACAATCAGGCATTTGTAAAATTACAGATAAGACTTGTTTGGTATATATTAAGATCTAAGACTGCGAAAACATGTCGGTGGTCGTTGTAACACAGATATATCGTATCGGTTAACCATTCAAAGTATGCTCTATAGTTTTAATTAGCAAACTATATTTAGAGAGTTCTTTTTGATTTATTCAAAGCAAAAATATCAATAATTTAACTGTAAGTGCTATTAATTTTTCTTCTTCATTCATAAGAACTTAGGCGGATTTTTACCGATTTTTTTTTACCGGCTCCTTAGTCTCCACAAAAATAACCCCTACTCAGGTGACAGATATCAAAGTACCAACATACAAAAAAAATGTCTTTATGCATCCCTAACAATATGGAATAAACAGTAGCTTTCAATTCTCTAACATCGATGCTGTGTGCCTTTCGTCTTTTTCTCATGTCTTAGTTATTGTGTTGTTCTGAACCAATCGGATAAGTCATTTTTAATTAATTTCTGCTTTGTTTTGTTCTTGTGATGTTCTGGTACACCAGTGTCTACGGTTAGAGGAACGGTTGAGTCTAATAAATATGTTAACACTGATGTTCTGGAACACCAGTGTCTGAAGTAAGGATAACGGTTGAGTCTAACAAACATGTTAACACTGTAATGTTCTGGTACATCAGTGTCTGAAGTTAGGGGAACGGTTTAGTCTAACAAACATGTTAACACTGTAATGTTCTGGTACACCAGTTTCTGAAGTTAGGGGAACGGTTGAGTCTAACAAACATGTTTACACTGTAATATTCTGGTACACCAGTGCTTAACGGTTAGGGGAACGGTTGAGTTTAACAAATATGTTTACACTGTGATATTCTGGTTCAACAGTGCATAAGGTTAGGGAAATGGTTGAGTCTAACAAACATGTTAACAATGTGATGTTCTGGTACACCAGTTTCTAGGATTTGGAGAACGATTGAGTCTAATAAACATGTTAACGCTGCGACATTCTTTATGTGCATGTCCAATGTCAAGAGCCTGTAATCCAGTAGTTGTCGTTGGCTGCATTATGCCATAGTTTTTTTGTTTTTGCTTAGTGTAAAAGAGGGACGAAAGACACCAGAGGGACAGTCAAACTCATAGATCGAAAACAAACTGACAACGCCATGGCCAAAAATAAAAAGACAAACAGACAAATAATAGTACAGAAGACACAACATAGAAAACCAAAGACTAAGCAACACGAACCCCACCAAAAACTGGGGGTGATCTCAGGTGCTCCGGAAGGGTAAGCAGATCCTGCTCCACATGTGGCACCCGTCGTGTTGCTTATGTTATTACAAATCCGGTAAATAGTCTAATTCGGTAAGTCACATTCGTGAAAAGGGAGGGTATTGTAGTTACGACAATGTCGGTAAATGTTGCATGATGACCTGTAACTGTTAACATTTTTGCCCTTTTGTTTGTAGTTGTATTGGCAATCACTCTACATCACCTTTATTGTATCATGTTTGAGAATGAACCTTATTGGTTAGGTACCGGTGTTCCAAAACAGGAGCCTGTAATTCAGTGGTTATCGTTGGTTGCTGTCCGTCATGTTGTTTTTTGTTAATAGTTTAGTTTTATAGGCAAACACACTACATCACCTGTAATGTATATTGTCTAGGAATGAATTTTACTGGTTTGGCGTTCCAAAAGTATTATCATATATTTCTCATAAAGGTCTGATTAGTCAAGTGCTTGTAATTCAGTGGTTGTCGTTTGTTTATAGTTAACTATACGGTATGGGGTTTGCTCATCGTTGAAAGGTTTATGTTGACATATAGTTGCTGATTTCTACGTCATTTGGTCTCTGTTAAATAGTTGTCGCATTGGCAATAATGCCACAACTTATAATTCTTTATATTACAAGCAAGAAAACACAGAATAGTATCTCCTATGTAATTGATTATGTGCACGTAATATGGTGCAACTAAATAGCATTAATCTTCCACAGCATGTATTAAACTAACACAGGACACTCACATACTCAGTTATAACATATTATTAAGATCTTCTTAATGTCTAGTGGCAAATATTTCACTCATACTAAACTTTAACACGTTTATTAGATGTGACCATAGGCTGGTTTGTGCTATATCGACAAGCTGAGTCGGATTTTTAACGAGCTAACTCACAATATAAAAATTCGCAAGAAGATATAACACCCTACTAGAAGCCGATCCAAGGGGTGTCACCAGGTACAAGTGACATCCCCTGGGGTTGAACAAATTATGCACCATATAGAGTTATTTCAAATTTTTATTAATTTACCAATAAGTCAATAACTAATAATATATTTGTCATGCCATTTCCATTACAATTGATCTACCTTAACGGAAGAAAAGTTGTACCGTGAGCTATATGCTTACCACTATCCCAGGTTAAAGGAGGTTGGGAGGGCGGGGGTGGCGTCAACAAACAGGAGTCTGAGCTATACTGTCCCCATGGTCAATGTAATAAAGCCATTTAGAAACAGACAAGATCACTCCACCCAAAAATGTATAAAGAAAAAGACAAATAAAATAGTTAACAAAACACAACACAGAAAACTAGACCGAGCAAAATGAACCGGGGTGATCTCGGGTGCTCCGGAAGGGGGAGTAAATCCCGTTTCATATTTGGCACCCGTCGTGTTGCACATGCAATATAAACCCGGTGTTAAGTCTAATTCGGTAGGTCATATTTTGGTTACGACGATTGGAACATATCCGTTGTAATCTGTGAAACAGATTTTCAATAACCGTCAACCAACTAATTACAATTTGTTTTATACTTTTGCTGTAACCTTTGACCTAAGCCTACACATTACAGAATGTCAATCATGAACTAAACCAAAACTCTATTGGAAAACAATCTTAAAAAAATAAGTGGGCTGCAACTCCAATAAGGACTCATCTAATGGTTTCAATCATCTTGTTTTTTGTGTGTATATCCTGTATTGATCATCATTTTTGCTGTTCAGTTTTATCTACATAGTTCTTGAGATAGGTGGGAAAACAAGTCAATTTGTCAATCAAAGCACCAAAGGCGCTATAGGCAGTTAATTAAAAAAATCAAAGGTAAACTTGGCAGAAGTTAAGATGAATATAGTGGAAGAATGGATGAAAATATTTGTCTCTAATTCTTCGTCAATTTATCCCTTTCTGCACCCATTGTATAAAAAAAATTTAATCAACGTGTGGTTCATTTGATCTCAGTTCTTCATTGGTTAAAATCCGATTATGACGTCGAATTTACTTGCTTTCCTCTGAATTTCCTATTGTGACGGCATGAAAAAAGGCGACCATGCCTGATGACGTCACAAAGAAAGAACACATCTTTTTACAGATCATTCGAAAAGACGGAATAAGTTTGCCTGCATATTGTTTGAAAATCATAAGAGAAACAGATTCCACCACCAAATCTCGTGTAATACGATATTTATCCACTCTCGACAGTTAAATTTTAAATATTTAAAACGCTCGGCGAGCCTCGCGTTTTAAATTTGAAAATTTAACTGTCTCGAGTGGATAAATATCGTATCACACTCGATGCAGTGGTAGAATCTATATATCTCAGCTATTTCTCAAGTATCAAATAATGTTTGTACCGTAATGTTTCTGCTATCCAATCCTACCACTTTCAAAAGTTATTTCCAATTTATTTTTTAAAGATTTAATGTCTGAGATTATGCACATACACTGTCCCATGTTAGGGGAGAGTTTTGTGCCAGCTAACATGTTTAACCCGCCACATTCTGTATGTACCTGTCCATAGTGAGGACCCAGTAATTTGGTGATTGTTGATTGTTGCTGTATATCATATTTATTTTTCATAATTGTTTTGTACATAAATCAGGCTGCTTTAGTTTTATTGTTTTACATTTGTCATTTCGTGGTCGTTTATATCTTACTATGCAGTATAGGTTTTGCTAATTGTTGCAGGCTGCATGGAGGAATATTCTTTTCAGAATAATAATTTCAATTATGGTGTCCAACAGTGGTGTATGGTTTAATTCCACTATGTACTAGAGTTTGAATATGCCATATTAGCGCTTTTAGTTGGATCAGCTGGTGTCACTATGCACAATTATCAAATCATACCTGAAACTATCTGAAATGGTGTAATTTTCTTGTATACTAGTATTACAAGAAATGCTGATGTTGTTATAATGGCCTAGCAATGATGCAACATATATTTTTGAAGGCTGTTCGGTTGCCTGTAATTGCTTACATCCACTTCATTTGAATTATGGTGGATA